GGAAACTTGGCATCAACATGCAAGTAAAACATTTAAATAGTGATAACAAATGGATGGATAAAAATAAAAGGAACACTTCAAGATAAGCATACATATTGCATTAAGATTTTAATTCAAAAGTAGACATGTTTCTATATACAAGCAATGTTTAAACAAACAAGCAAGAATGCAAATGAAAATGCAATAAAGAAACCAATGATTTCCATTATTGAGGAGACTTGACTCCGTACGGATTTCTTGATTTTGATGACTTTCTGTAGTCTTGATGCTTGAATGGGCGAGAATTCCCCTTCGGATATGATGTGAGCACGACATTCTTTGAATTGAGCATGTCTGAGAACTTGTCAATGGATGACATACCCTCTTCAATCGAATGGCCAGATGCCCCAGAATAATATGCATAGAAGACTCTTTCAGGAGAGTGAATGAATTCTTTACCAAGCGAATTGGTATAAACTGCATCACCAAGCACATCACGCCACAAAGGAATAATACAATTCATCTTCTATCAGAACAACAGAGACATCCAGTTAGTGAGAAAGAGACTGACAGTTGGCCAAATAGGGATTAGGATTTTGGAAGATGCGCCAGACGGATGTTGGGATTTTAACTTCAACCCCTTCATAGTCTTTGATATCAAAAGCGGGGTCCCCAAAGTAGGGGATACATCTAGCATGTGTATCGCAATCAGAAGAGATGTTTGTGGGAGGAAAACCCCAAAGATCAGAGCTGGAAATAATAGGATTTAGTGCATTGGGATCACATCAACATGCTCATCAGGATTATTCTGTCTTTGCTTAAAAGATTTTTTTCTTTTGAATTCACTAGATGAATAAAGAAGGACTGTTGTCGAACAGATCAGAGAACTCAAGGCTGTGGAGAATGCCCCTAATTAAAAAGTATGAAGTCCCAGTGTGGCAACCACATTTGACGTTGGTCAACAAGAATGAAGAACTGATATAAGATCTTATAGTAAATGGGAACCATCTGTTGATAAGTTGTTCCAAGAACTCAAGATTGTGTAGCACTGCACGGTTGAAAGCCACTCCTAAAAGATGAGGAGAAGAGAGAACCTGTTGTGGCAATAAGTTCAAGATCGTTGATATCAACATCACAACTTCCATGACCTGTTTCATCTGATTCTTCAATTAATTATCTTCCTGATCGAAGAAATTTCTGACCACGTGCCAAAGCTTGCATGTATACCACACGGAATTATTCCATAACTGATCCCTGAGCATGTGACAATAAAAATCAAGTTGAACCTCTGAGGAGAACACTTGGTCTGAATAAGAATCCCCAATCTTCGAGTACCTGTTATGGATGCATGAATATGCATGAAGTGCATGAATGGATGCCATGTCATGTTCTGTCATTTCCAAGGAATTTACATGCTTTGATTTTGATTTTATGCAGGTAAGGGATGGAAAAGTTCAACACAAGGATTACAAATATGATTCTTTGGAAATAACAAAACATGTATGTTAAGCATGTGGTTAACCATGTTATGTATGCAAAGACATGGGATCAAAGTTCCATTATTTCTGAATATGATTGTTGCATTGTTTCTGAATCATATGGATATAACCAGATCAAAGGTCCGACATAGCTTATGCACATATAAGAACCAAGTACCATGTGGATCATCAATGGTACGAGATTAATGTTTCTGGAACCGGATACTGTTGAACCTCTTTTGAACATGCTGAGAATACCAAGATCGAAGGCTTGAATGAACATCCAAATAAAAAAGTCAGGAACTCAGAAAATAAATCCGAGAACCATATGGCCACCAACAGAATATAGCATCTGAATAAGTCACCAACAAAAATCCAGAACATAACCATTAGAACCAATAGTCATTGTATGATAATAGTCACCATTTGAACATGAGTAACCATATGTACCTGTAAGAATCAATCATCCCTCCCTACTCACGAGAGAAACTAGGTCAGGGTAAGGCATGGGTAACTCAGAATCATGTAAACACCTGAAGCATCTATCGTCGAAACACCTATGTAAAACGATAGCACCCTATTTGTAATCTCATCTAAGCATGGACGACATGAGCGCACTAGCAAACCAAAGTCGACTAGCCGTTCACGTTCAACTCTATTCCTAAGGTTCCTATGGTTATCACTTAGCCTGGGTATTGGGCCTTTTACCTCTTGTAACGCCCACCCAATCATGAAAACAGAGCCAACACATCAATATCACAAATATATGGAAAGCGATAAAATGCAATGCAAACATATGCTCAAATAAACATGTACAAAATGAACAATTTATGAAGCATATAAATAAACACCCAGATAAAGGAAAGCAAGAGCTAGGATTGACTCCGCAATGGACCAGTAATAGGTTAATTTTCTCCCAATGAAGTCGCCAACTGAAATAACCGGCTGAACCGTCATCTGATATAAAAATCAACGAAGTTGCCACCGAACGACTTTTATCTTGCAAGAAGGGAAAGCTAAACATTGATAAAACCTGAAGAGGGAGAAGTCATGGTCTTGCGACTGAGAGATCGGGTAAGGGGGTATGTTACGCGAGGGGAAGGTATTAGCACCCCACACGCCTGTAGTACTCTACGGTATCCACTCTTGTTACCTAATCTAATGGGTGTGTAAAATCTATATCTAAGCCTTGAAGCTGGAAAGGGAATGCATGCAAACAAAAAAGAAAAGAAAATGTGGGGAAAAGAAAGGAATATTTACAAAGATATGCTCGATTAGGCCGCACAAAAACCTCTGCCTACATATCCTTTTTAAGGAATCACAACAGTCGTAGTTCGGCTCATATATTTTGGTTGGTTTGTGTTTTTTAGTTAAGAAGACAAAAGAAACAAACAAGATGACAAAACATCAGATAAAACGACAAAACATCAACAACATTGATAAAGCAATAAAAGGAATGACAATACAACACATGGCAACACAAACTCAAATAATATGATAAGGCGTCAGCATGATAATAAAATACCAGACAAGACGATGAAACATTACACCTAAAAATGATATCGAAAATCAAAGTAGGATGACAAACATACGCGACGGCAAAACATCAGCAACAAACATATGCGATAGCGAAACATCGACAAAAGGATAGCAAGATAGCATGGCAAAGATGGAAAAACATCAATAATCCAGATGATAAAACATCACACCTAACAATGATATTGAGAATCAAAGTAGGATAACAAACATGTGTGATGGCGAAACATCAGCGAAAAACATATGCGATGGCGAAACATCGGCTAAAAGATGGAAAGGTAACATGGAAAAGATGGTGAAACATCAACTTTATAATGTTTAAAACAAAGCCAAAAGGAACACAAGCAATTAAGATTGGTTTGTATTTTTTACCTTGAAGAAGGATTTAAGTTTATTAGAGATATTTTATGATTTGCCAAGAAGAAGTTTTAGTTTTAAGATGCAATATGCAAAGAAAGGAAAAATAACTAAGGGAGACTAGCCTAGCACTACTCCTAATGTTATAATACAATGATTGACCCTGAGGTTGAGGATGATGTGAAATTTCTACCCTATGTTGACATGCTTGGATAACCATCCAAATGTCTATCTTAACTCATCATCTATAGATGAATCAAGAAGTCCTAAAGGAGCATAGCACGGGTATATCACCTAAAACTATGTCTATCTCAAATCATCATTTATAGTTGAATCGAGAGCTCCTAAGGGAACATACCGAGGGTATATCATCTGAAAACATGCACACAAAGACGAAATCAAGCAAGAAAGCCAATAAGCTCAAGAGAACACACCTAGAGATATCCTATCTAGGTTAGCATTCCAACGAAAGTCTAACAAAACTATCCTATGGGGAACATACAATGAGAGAGAAGTAGGATCACAATTTCTAAATTGAGTGACTCATCGATCAACAAGAAATAAAGGAAAGTGATGAAATCCTATAGGGAGCATGCACTGAGAGCGAAATCATGATTTCAATTTCTAAATTGAGTGACTCATCGATCAACAACCAAAGAAACAAACACAAGCACAACACATATAGAAAATGAAGTGCGGTATTCCTGCTACAGGTCTTTAAACAGCGACTTCGAGCGCACGCTCTTTATTTCTTATTTCCTATTTCACATGCTTTCTATAAAGCGATAAATGCCAAAATGAGATAAACAAGGGAAAATACCAAACGAACAAAAGTTCGTAGCATGGCAAACAAAGAAGAGAAACCCAGAAAACTTCGAGTAAGCTTCACCAAGCTAAGAAAAGAGTCAGAAATTAAATGCTCGGGATAAGTGTCGAAGAATCATCGATGTGAAAATAAATAACAATCAAAATTTTGAGCATATCTGCATACTGCACAATAATCCTGCATAAGACTTAATCTCAACAAGCAAAGGTGAATTACAAATCTTAAGTAATCGGATAATCGGGATTTAATTAAAAAAACAAATAAAAAAAACTAACATTTTTTTATTAATGTTTTTGTTTCATCAATATTTTTTTTATCATGTAAAAAAAAGTTCAAACAAATCTAAACAATTCACAAAATTATTTGAAAGAAAATACTAAAAGAATAAACTCAGGGGGTGCAACCAAATAACCCAGGGGTATAGGAGCAATCTGTGTGCTAGGCCTAGGCAAATCAGGATCCAATCAACTTTTTGGTACAAGCAATCAGGCTGCCAAGAAAAGTCAGTTATTATGGGCTTTGGATAGGTGCAGTCTGGAACCAGGTGGTATGGCAGAAATAGGGCGCTTAGGCTCATTCAATTTGTAGTCCAGCAAGCCAGATTTTTGTATCAACTTCTAAGGCCTATAATGTCAAAAACGCACAAAAATGAGCCTAAAGGAAATGTGTGGTTCGGTCCTTGGCCCAATCATCATCAATTTCAATTTCTATTACTATTATTCTTTCAACAAAAAAACAAATGAGTTAAAAGGAAACAAAACGATGCAGTTTAGTGAGGCAAATATAGGGTTAAACACTATGATTGTTGAACTTCAGAAACAAATATGATAACCCTTCTTCTTCAACCAAAAATGCAACAGTGTGATCAACAAAACTCCTCTGCCGCTGGATCAACTCCTCTGATCATCTCCGTCCTTACTCCGCTCATCGTCTTCCCTCTTGATTCTTCTTTTTTTGCATCTTCGTATGCGATTCGGTTTTGCCTCCCTCAACTACACACATCGCTAGCCACAAATGTGACTTCTGATCATCACCTTTCATACTCTTCTCATCGTCTTCCCTTCCGACGACATCCGTTTGTTTCAAAGACACCGTGATTTCACGTTTCAAATCACATAGAGAATACAAAAAACAATGGCGGAGGTTAGGGCTTACCTACCGGAGAAAGACCGACACATCTTCGGTTCAAGTATAACTTTGTTCACGAATCTTATTTTTTGTTTCTGTATTGTGGCAATTTTGTGTGATCTGAAATTTGTTGTGTGATGTGATGATGATCGACGATTGAATCCTGATTATGTTGTTGATGCAGCATTGATGATGATGAATTGAGGCGAGCTTGAAGAATCACGAAACGTGATAAAGATGAAAGAAGATTGAGGAATCACAATGAAGAGTTTGGTTCAGAAGTTGATGAAGATTGATGGAGGATAAAGCAGTTGCTGAAGAATTGGTGAGTTCTATTACGAATTTGATATGGAGAATCCGGTTGGAAGAGAGAGAGAGTATAAAGAGATTTTTCTGTGTTTATTCTCCAAAGATTGAAGAATGGAAGCAGAGATTTTTCTGGTGATTCCTCTAATGAAGTGAATAATGATGGCTGGAAGAAGATTGAAGAGTTATGCGATGATGAAGGTTCTGCAGAGAAGAATTTTGCAGAGAGTTTTTTTGTGTGAGTGTTTTGGAAGATGAAGGTGAAGATGGAGAGTGATTCATCTGTGATTGAAGAAAGAATCATGCTACAAGGTGATTACCCCTTTTATATTTCTGTTATCAGTAGAAGTTAGTTGCAACTTGATTAAATATTAGCTGTCGATTCTGATTTTCAGTTAGAGAAATTGAATGGTCAGGATTGAGTTTGTGAAACTATCTTTAGAAGCCTTGGATAAATTGCTGAACTGTTAAGTTTCACAATATTTTTTGATATAATTATCTTTTTGAAAATTCGTCCTCACGTCTAATTTCCTTTCTATTTTTATTTTCTAATTTGAATATACAGGTTGCCGGTTTGTGTTGGGGACACCTTACAAGATATATAGCCATATTATTCTACATACAGACTAAATGTCGAACCCTTGCTAAGGCTGGCTTGCAGCTCTGTTTTTGGTTCAACTTCAGGTACCTGATGATGAGGAAGACATGGCTATAACAAAGTTGTGAGTTTATCAAGCTCGTGATAGGATACCAATAGTTGAGGCTTTTCCCGGTAATATCTTTTTGATTCTGACTTTTTTTTGAAAGCTTCCTTTCCTCTTCTCTTTCTCCGTATTCTGAAGGGATTGTGCAAGGGAAAATGATGATGAAAAATTAGGGCTTCTGACTTTCCATTTTTTTTTAATTTTTCTGGATCTGTGATGATGTACTACTGAGTTTATACTTTTTTTATTCAGTTTAGATGTTATACCAGTTATTTGTGAATGGCAGTATGTTTCTGTTTGTTGCTTGGGCTGCACAATTTTCTGCTAGGGTGTAATTTCTTATATGAGAAATTGCTTATTGGGATGGAATTTGCGATTTTGCTTGCAATCTGTTTTTACTGTAGTGACTTTCTTATTTTGACAGAACCGCAAACTGTGCATACTTGCTGAACCGTGGCGCTATTTTTGTGAAACTTGTGTAGTAAGCTTGCGTGTTTTGAACTCTACTGTGAACCAAAACCCATTTTTGTGAATTGTAGTAGATGGAATTTGTCCTCGTGATTGCTTTCTCAAAAAATGATTTGTGTGAACCAAAATCTTATGAGGCTTTGATGGTGTTGCTCGAACATGATTGAAAAACACCATTAACTCTCTGATTCCAAACTTAAAGCCCCAATGATGAAACTTGAATAGAAAACTCCTTGAAAACTCTTTTTCTTGTGTTCATGTTCAAGTTTCCTTGATTGTTTGCTAACAATTTTTATTCTTATTATTTCATGAGCAAATAATGGTCATGGCATGGAGAATGAAGAGGAGGTATCCATGGCTAGCATGAAGCATTCTTGGAGATCTTTTGGGAAGATGTCATGAAGTGAGAAGCTTTGAAGGAGAAAAAGTCTTGGAGGAAGATTCAAAAGAAAAGTCGTGAAAAACTCTATAGGATTAGGCTTACTAGTTTAGGACCTCTTGATTTTGATTTGTACCCTTAGAACTTGACATACAAAAATAAATGAAGAATGATGGATACTTGTTATTGTGAATGATGAATGTGATGTACTTTTGTCTTGCAAACTTGGACAATGAATGATTCTTAAGAAGTTTGAAACTTGTAAATTAGCTTGAATGAATATATGGGATGATATTGTTCTTGGGTAAAATTTGAAAGAAGACAAATTGAAATGATGCACTTGAAAAAGATACATGAATGATGAATGGACTTGAAAACCATGCGACTTTGTAGAGTTTGCACTTGAAATTAATAATGGCATGGTTCGATATATTTGGACAATGGATGATGGATTGCTTGAAAACATGAATGAAACTTGGATAATGAATATAACTTGAATGGAATGGTTGAATAAGCTTTATCTCAAAACTCTTTTAATTCCAAATTCAAAGAACCTTGAAAGGTAGTCGAAATCATGAATAAAATTTTCAAATTTGGAATCTAATACATTCAAATCTAATCCACACCAACCTTGCATGATGAACAGACACGATGATACTTCCACCAATCCTAATTCAAGAAGGAACCAAGTACTTCCCTTGATTTAAATGGGATCCTCAATGCCTTCAAAAACCCTTGAGAAGTATAGAGAAATAAACTCTACTTCAACCTTGGTAATTTGGAGAAGAAAAGCCCTAAGTTCGATGAGAAGAGATCTCTAGGATCAAAACCCTAACCTTGTTGATATTTTGAATCAAAATGGATGGTGTAATAGGATAAGACTTATGATGCCAATGTTTTAAGAATTTTGTCTAGGGAAAATCATTCATTCCAATAATCAAAACCATAGCCATTTCCAAATCTATGATGAAACAGATAGTCAACTTGAGATGTCATGAGGTCTGAGCCCGGTAGCCTGAATGATCAAAATAATGAGGAGATGAAATCCATCTTGGACTTCCTGACAATACAACCAAATTCCATATCTTAGAGAAAACCATGAAGACCATAAACCTTGATCCCATCTTAAAATGCATAAATGTGTATGACGAAACATAAGCCACAAAAGTAAAATGAAGAGGGAGAATTTTGGGGTGCAACTTGGAGTTCCCTGATATTTATGCTTCATGAGAGTATTTCTCGGTATGACATTCAAAGCAGATCCATTGTCTATCAGCACATTGGAAAAAGAGTCATTCTTACAATTCATAGGTATATACAGAGCCAGGTTATCGTTTCTTCATTCATTAGGAAATTACTAATCACAAAAGCTCAGATTGTTACAAGATGTAATATCCCCCATAGCACCGCTGAACTGATCCAGAGACATATCAATTTCAATAAAAGCCTACTCCAACACCCCCATTAGAGATTCCCAATGAGCAGAAGAGTTCACAAACAAGGCTAAAACGGAAATCTTAGACGAATTTTGCAACAACTGATCCACAATCTTGTAATCACTCATCTTGATGAGTTTTAACAGATCATCAACATCCTTTTCCAAGGCGGCGCCACCAGATTCTCCTACCACTTTCCTAGGTTCAACATTCTCAACAACCTTCTTACCATAATTAACATCTCCTCGAAAGGTAGGGGTGAAGACACGACCACTGTGAGTTACCCGACTAGCTTCAACAATATTCTCATCATGGGACAAAGGTTTGATAGGAATTTCCACACCATCTTCTATGAAAGTTGCATTGTAATTATAAGGAATAGCCTTATCTAATTCATATGGGACTGGACCAGGAAGACAAATAACTATGGGAGCAACAAAGGGCTTGTTATGGTACACAATCTCTACAGGAGCGGGAACACCAAAATATGGCACAATAACATTCACCCTTGCTTCTTCAGCATACTCAGGATCACATAATCATTATTAAAAAATACACCTTCATTAGAAGAAAATAAATCATCAGCAGAAACATACTCATTACAGAAACGTACTCATCATCAGACATGGCCTCAACAGAGTAGTCTTCAATCATGTTAACCCAAGTATAATCATCTATGTTGTCGGTGACTCTGATAGTACCATTATCTAACAACAATTGAACACCTCTTCTTACTGCAGAACAACAATGGGAATCCCTACAGCAGATCTGACAGGACCCATATTGATGTACCTCCTGGCCATCCATGTGAAAAAATATGGCGTGCAGCTGTACCAGATCATCATCCATCTAGTTTACATCAAAAATACGGAATTCGCTGAGACAACCATAAACCATATTTACATCTTCTTCATATTCAGCCCTTGGTATGATTATGTTGATAAGACCTTCGTCCATCATTTCTTGAAGATCATCTCTCACTTTATCACATCCATGGATATCTAAAATGCAAAAACTACAAGTGGCATGATCGTGTGTGTAATAGCTAAACTCACAGAGATCAGCATGCATCTTCACTAAATCACCTCTAACCAGAATAATATCAAATATCCGGAAGTCCCTAGGACAACCAGCAACCATATTTACAATACTTCCACCTCTATAATTTGGTAGTGGATTATCTTTCACATAGGGACCAACATCTTTAAAAGACAAGAAACTAGATCTTACCATATTTTGTACTTCAGACTTCAACAAATAATTTTTTTTAAATGTTGTTCCCCGGGGCTCCTTGATGAAAAGCACAAGTCTGATCTGCTTTATAATACCATGGTAAAGTAGAGGGTATAGTAGGGGGAGACCTAGTCTGCACCAATTTATTTTGAATCAAAGTCGGAAATAGTTCCGCATAACTCATCATAATAGGATCAAAAGCTTCTCTCTTCTGACCTTGCCCTTGATTACCTTGTTCAAGTGCTCTCTAATAGACAACAGCACTCGTAGCCACATTGACAACCGGAGTTACAGAAGTAACATGTTATTGATGCTGATGACGTCTTCTTGGAGGTCTAACCCTTCTTTCTTAAACAAAAACATTTTCTTCACTTTCTTTCTTCTTAGAAAACCCATATGATGATTTCTTTATTCCACTAGAACCTTAATCTTTTGTCAATCGT